GCCAGGTGCCCGATGTGAGGTGGTATCTTACAGTGATCTTTATTTGCATTTCCCTGACGATGAGTGTTGTTGGCCATCTGCATGTCTGTCTTCTTTGTAAAAATGTCTATTCAGATCTTCTTCCCCTTTTTAAAAATAGGCAGAGGATTTTGTTTTCTTCTTTACTATACTGTGGTATGAATTCTTACTGTATTTTGGATGTTAACCCCTTATCAGATATATAATTTGCAAATATTTTCTCCCATCCCATAGGTTGTCTTTTCATTTTGTCGATGGTTTCTTTTGGTGGGCAGAATTTTTTAGTTTGAAGCAGTCCCACTTGTTGATTTTTGCTTTTGATGTCTTTGCTTTTATTATCAAATCCCAAAAATCATCACAGGACTGATGTCACCACCTATGTTTTCTTTTAGGAAAGGAGTTTAATGGTTTCAGATCTTACACTCAAGTCTTTAATCCATTTTGAGTTAATTTTAGTGCATGGCATAAGACAGTGGTCCAGCTTCCTTCTTTTGTATGTAGCTGCTCAGTTTTCCTGCATTATTCATTGAAGAGACTTTTCCCATTATATATTCTTGGGTCCTTTATTATAAATTAGTTGACAATATATGAGTGAATTTGTTTCTGGGCTCTCTATTCTGTTACATTGATCTAAGCATCTGTTTTTTATGCCAATACTATACAGTTTTAAAAAAATTTTTGTCAACATATACTGTATTATTAGCCCCAGGGGTACAGGTCTGTGAATTGCCAGGTTTACACACTTCACAGTACAGTTTTGATTACAGTTTTGTAATATAGTTTGAAATCAGACAGCATGATGCCTCCAGCTTTGTTCTTCTTTCTCAAGATTTTTTTTGGCTATTCGGGGTTTTTTGTGATTTCATACACATTTGATGATTATTTGTTCTAGTTCTGTAAAAAATGCCATTGTAATTTTGATGGGGATTATTTGAATCTGTAGATCACTTTGGGTACTATGGCTATTTTAACAATATTAATCCTTCCAATCCATGAGCATGGAATATCTTTCCACTTAGTTCTGTCTTCTTCAATTTCTTTTCACCAATATCTTATAATTTTCAGTGCACAGACCTTTTACCTCCTTGGTTAAATTTATTCCTAGAGATTTTATTCTTTTGATGCAGTTATACAGGGATTTTTTTCCATAATTTTTCTGATAGTTCATTATTAGTGTATAGAAAGATGACAGATTTCTGTGTTTTGATTTTGTACACTGCAATATTACTAAACTCATTTAATAGTTCTAACCACTCACTTCTTTATCTTGAGTGTAGACACAAAGGCTGTGTGTTGGGTGGAGGGTGCGGTGTGCAAGGAAGGAAAGGAAAAGAATTGCTGTTATGTCCTATTAGGAATCAGGGAGAGAAAAACTGCCAGGAGGAAAAACTGAAGGGGACTTTTAAAATATGGTGAGTTTGAGACAGAAGAGTTATAAGAGGAAAGAACGGTAGGTGTTTTCATTCACTCAATGAGTTATTTTTTGGTACAAACATTGTACCAGGCCACCATGTGTACACTTATTAAATGTAAACCCTAATGGGAAAGAACAAACAAAATTATGACTTACGTTTATGGATAGACAGAAAGGAGGAGCCTCCCTGGCAGTGATGGAGGTTTGTGGTGGGTCACAGAGAATGAATCTGGAGTCCTTCTGGACAAGATCAAGTTACCATGTGATGAGCAGTAGGACACTTCCAGCAAGAGCTTTGTGTGTTCACAGAACTGAAAGCCGGGTTTGGTTCCAGTGAATACAGAAAGAGTGGCCCATGATGAGGTGGTGAGCTGGTGGGGCCCGGGGTACAGACCACATTCTAGAGCACAGTCATGGTTACATGTTTACACTTTGTTTCTAACGAAATGGGAGAGCTCTAGTGGGTTTTAAGGGAGTGGTATGATGCTCTTATGTGTTACAGATATTCCTCTAGTAATAAAGCAAGAGTGGAATAAAGCAAGAGTGGAAATTGACAGAGTTGAAAGGAAATGTTTGAATAACGGACTGATGGAAGCTTGGGTTGGAGAAGGTAGAGAAGGAAGCAGACTTGAAAGCAGTTATGACAGGACCTGCTGATGGACTGGATGTGAAAGAATCTGCTTAATTTTGGTTTTGAAACTGCTGGTTGCATTTATTGAAATGGGAACATTGGGCTTGAACATGTCACGTTCCTGTGAGCAAATATGTGAACTTGGGGCTCCAAGGAGAAGACTGGAAATACATATAGGGGAGTACTCAGCTTATAGATGATTTACAGCCATGGGAATGGATGAGATCATGAAGGAAATGCCCAGTGCCAGGAACCTCCATGTACAGCAGCCTCCGCACATAGTAGAGGAACACAAAGAGCAACATCACCAGCCTTTTCTTGGGGAGGAGGACAGATCAGAGAGGAAGGAGAGTTCTACAAAGGAGAGGCTGATTATGTGGGTTGAATATGGCTAAGAGGTCAAATGAACACAACAAAGCCAAAAGAGACCACTGGTTTAGCAATATGGAGGTCACTGATGAGATAATCAAGGGACTACGTTTAGGGTGGATGGAAGTTAGGAGGAAGTGGAAAAAATATCCATAGTCCTTTGGAGAAGGAAACCTAAAAATGGAGTTGTACCTGCTACTCTGTGTTTATCAGTGTATCTGTCTTAAGCAATTCCATGTGTTATTCATTTCTTGTGGCCTGTCTGACAAATTGCCACAAACTTGGTGACTTACAACAATGCAAATTTATCCTTGTATTGTTCTGAAGGTCAGAAGTCTGAAGTCGGTTTCACCAGGTCCAAATCAAGGTATTGGCATTTTGTGTTCCCTCCAGAGGCTCAAGGGAAGAATCTATTCCTCTTCAGTCTTCTGGCGGCTGCTGGCATTCTCTGGTTTGTTGTCTTGCCACCTGTCTCTGCCTCTATGGGCACACTGCCCTTTTCCTTTTCTGTATGTGCCAACTCTCCCTCTGCCTCTCTCTCATAAGGCTCCTTGTGATTGCATTTAATCCAGGAACATGGCCCCATCTCAAGATGTCCAACTTCCTCATATCTACAAAGACCTAGTTTCTTTATAAGGTGACATTTACACGTCCCCTATACCTTTCAGGGCCGTTATTTGGCCCACTATACTGTACTAAGTCACCAATTCCTGAGACTCTGAAGTTGGTTGTAGAGTTGATGATTTTAAGTGCATCATACTTCTCATTCTGGGATTTATTGGGATTTAGAAACATCTATTGAAATATTTAAATGTACAATTCCTTTTTCATAGATGAATCATGGTTATTAACTCCTAATTGATATTTGAGACAAAACATAAACATAACTTCCAAAAAGAAGTTCAACTAATAGTTAACAATGGGCATGGACTTTTCGTATCAACACTGCCATTATTAAGTACCAGGGTCAATCTTTAAGAATTCTAAATAAATAAGAAGTGAATGATTACAATGAGTGAGACAGACACATAATGCAATGTTACTATGTTGACCTTGTTGGTTCTAAATTTATTCCTACAGACATTATTTAATATGAATAACTAAATTATTTTTGCTTTAGGTAATTTAATAAAATAATTTACATGCGTATATCAATAGAGAACCATAAATTATACATGTGTGGTTTTAAATAGATCCACTTAAATGCCTATCTTTGGTGTTAAATGTATTCAAAACTCTGTCTATGCTGTCCTTAGATCTAAGCTCCCCTCTACTCATCCTTTGGGATATGCTTATTTGGGACCTCCTCCAAGTGGCATTTCCTGCCTCATTCAAAATCATAATTCGCTTTGCCTGAATCTTACTTTGCCTGTCTCATTGCTCTGTCTATGCCCAAAAGACTGTCTCATTTATGTTGGAGCCTCCTGCACCTGGCACATTTTTTTTTTCCTTTTTACTCTAGGCAGAGATGGGTCCTGGCTACTTTGTGCCACCATTTTTGAGCAGAAACATGGAGACAAGCAGAACTGCGAACCATCTGCCCAGATTCTCTCCCTCTTCCTACCGTTCCCACCCTTCCCATCTCATCATGCAGACACTCAACAAAGTACTTCTCAGGAGTAGCTATCCTTTTTCATTTAGCAGCTTTCAATAACATAGACTTTTCACACAATAAAGACTAATTTTTAAACAATAGTCTTTTGTGTATGTACTTCTTTATAAAAGCAAATTTCCCTCACTTTACTGGCTTTGGCTTTTTTAAAAAAATTAGCTTGTTTTTGACAATTCACCAATGTAAATGAAATTCCCTCAAGCCAAATGCACTCCTTCTCCCCAGGGCCTCGTTCCTAAAACAATTTCCAGACCTTTAAGGAAGTACTTTCAAACACTGAAATCAAGGAGAAAATATGACACAATACATATTCAAAGACTGAACTCCCTTGAGCATTTAATCTTGTGGCCCTGGGCACAGCTGCCACACCCTTGGCCAGCCTCAGAGAGACTGCGTGGGTGGCTAAGGCAGCCTTCTCTGGGAATGCCTTGGGGACCCCAGGGGACCGCCCCTCAAGATGTCTTGACTTCCAATGCCAGCCCCCCTGCCTATTAGCTGCATGACCTTGGGTAAATCATTTAACTACTCCGGTTTCTCACTTTGCTCACCCTATAAAACGATGCCAGGGAACCAAACAGTCCACTAGGTTGCTAACAATCTAACAGGCATCGACGCCTCCTCTTTACATAGATCATCGCTGCATACTCAACATGCGAATGTAGAGAACCCTTTCCATTCTAAGGTGGTTCAAATGTGGAGTTTACCGGTGAGCAAGAGTTGGAGGGCACAGATTGCCCAGACACCGCTCAGTAACCGTCTTTGCCTACTGCGTCCACACACATTTTTTCGATTTAAATAATTTCAAACACCCTATTTTCAGCATCCATTTAGCTTCAAAGCTATTTGCTTTAATTGTAGCCAGAGACAAAGTAGAGGGAGGCCATTTTAGGTCAACGTGGCATTGCCTGTACCAACACTTTAATCACCAAGCCCTTCATTAGATGCGATGTACTCACCACTGGATGAAGTGGGGTTCCTGGAAACATAAATTGCATCTGCTGGGCAAGCATCGCGGCAGCCGTTTTTTGCTGGATCAGATTGTTCCTCCCATTAATTTCTAGTTGAGTTTTTAAATGTGTTGGAGGATGAAGATACTTGCAGTTCTCTCTTGAACAACGGCCCTGTAAAACGAATGTTTTGGTTTTAGAACTGTTGGGAGTAGCTTTCATCTATGGCCAACCATTTCCCAATTGCTCCACGTACACAAAGGCAAGGATGCCGTGCGTGCGTGCGAGTGCGTGCGTGCGTGCGAATGCGTGCGCGCGCATGCGCACTCGTGTCGGAACGTAGAACGGATTTGCAACATAGAAGGCGTGAATCAGGCAATAGATGATTATCGATCTTGCTCAAACCTGTTCAGCAGAGAAGCTTTCTGAGATTTTTTTTGTGGTGGTTCTTTCCAATGAATTCCAACTCTGACAAGAGACTCTAAAGAAATCTGAGTGCTAGAAATAAAGGCAGACCCTTCTAGGCGGGTGGAAGGCAGCCAGAGGAGCATTTTTTATGGGAACTTATCAAAAGGACTCTCTCAACTTGCTCGATGGTGGTTTGTGCATGCTGGAGTGCTGACCAAGGATGAATGGTTACGTGCCGAATTTGTGCAGTGGGGACAGTAATAAGAACTTCTTGAAATGCGTGTTCCAGATTGGCTGAAGATAACCCTTGTCCAAATCATTGAAGAAGAGGCAAAGGTCTCTAGTATAGGAGTGGGTATTTCTTAGTAATAGATACATTAGTGAACATTCCAGGCATTAAACTCAGATAATTACCTGCAACTAATTAGTTTGATACTCAAAAGCTGTTACCCCACGTCCATGCCCCCACTCCCATGACAGTTTTATCAAATTTAATGTCACAATAGGACACAGTGAAGAGTGTTTATGGCTAAAGTAATATTTTGATGTTAAAGTCGGCCCGATGAAAACAATTAATTAGGTGACAGGTGTGCATAAAGCCAGTCTTGGAGAGTAATTGCAAACGTAGTGTTCATACTGAATTCCCAAGTTTTCAAAAGTACCAATTGAGAGAATCATGTTGATGTGTGAATTATGCAATTTCTGGAGAACGAAGAGCAGACTGTGCTAACCCGTGTATTATCATTCCCTAAAGAATTAGTCTTTTTGCAACCAAGAACAGAGAATATGGGTTTGTTTACCAGATATAAAAATAATTTTAAGTGGCAAGCTTGGGGGATCTGGGGAAGCAAATTTGTTTACAGTCATCCTAATTCTAAACATCTGGAGTTCTCACTCGGTTTCCCGCTCATTTCAGCTGCACTTTTGGCAGCGTAGGCTCCCTCTCCAGCATGAACCTTTCCCCGCCGCCATGGGGAAGGGCAGATGTCAGTGGCAGGCCGGGTCTTCATGGTCTGGGCTTATCAACCAATGCTGTCCTAAGGGTCTACTTTTAGCATTAGTGGTCGTGTCACCCACTGCAGGCAGGACACAGGCAGGGACTAGCAACATCAAAAGGAACTGGTCACATTTCTGCTAATAAAATTCTGTAACAATGGTTATAGGTCAGTATGTCTCCTTAGTCTCAAACTTGTATTTTGAATGTGTCCTGCAGCTTCCTGTGTGTGAAACAGATATCCCAAGTCAATGATTAGAAGGTCTGTTATAAAGACATAGGTAAACTGGAACCATGATGAAAAATAATCTAAATCCAAGAGGCCTAGGAATCTCTCTCTCTCTCCATCTACTTGTCTTTGCAGTTTGGGGCAGGGTAGTTTTTATCCTAACTTTCCTTTGCTCTGTGTTTCATGATGTCCTCCCTTGACAGTTGCTGAGGTTGCTAAAATCAAGTCTCCGAGAAGCATGCGTGTGGAGTCAGCTCCTATAACACAGGTGTGTGACCAGTCTCTGGATTGGCTGTGTATAGGCCAAGTACCCAAATGCGCTCTTATCATCCATGATGGGAAGTCGTTTGTGGGATACAAGATGTAGCTCTGGACCATCAGCAGGGGTGGGAAAGGATTAAATGGAATGCTATTTCTCATACAGAAGCTATGCACCCCAGACTTCTGACAACCTCACTCCACACTCTCTTTAGGCACAAGCACTTCATCTGGAGGCTGACCCCCAGAAAGGCTCAGGTATACAAGATACCTGTATAAGGCCTGTGTGCACAAACATACAGCTGGCCCTAATGAGAGAATTCGGGAAAGGAGAGTTCCATACCATGGGGATGGAATCTGTGAAGCACCCACACTTCTACCAGTTTGGCTCTTCAATTTTGCTCATCCATATGAGCGTTCCTCTGATTCACTAGTCTAATGTAATCCTTTGTAGCTATATGTAAAAATTTCGATTAGGCTAGAAAAAATACGGTTTTCTTATAAATGCTATTATCTTTTGATATAATTGGGACACTTAAGGAACAGTATAAACTATTTTCAGCCAAGAGAACATGATTTACAACATTGAGTTAGTAATTTATTGATGGAACCTTCTTTTTCATGAGAATTAATGCAGTTTCCTAGTGTCCTTACTTACACACTTGGAGTAAGGCATGTTATTGATCACCCACGTGCCAGACAATCTATACATGGTTATCTCATTTTCCCCTTACAAAACAGCCATAATGGTACCTATCTTACAAAATAGCAAATGTACTCAGAAATATTAAGGAACTTTTCTGAGGTCATATAATTGGTAAGTGGTAGAGCTAAATTCATGTCTACCTGACTCAATTCATCACTACACCAAGCTATTTATTAGTAACAGTTAAAATCTAGAAAAGAAAAATATCTGGCACTATCCTTGATAAAATAATGTGTGTGATATATATTCTATAATAATAAGATGTATAACTCAATTTAAAATGTGGTAAAATATGAGAATTTGAGGAATGGAAAAACATTATTTGCCAGGGTCTGTCCTTCTATAGGGGGTTAGAGAAATGGTTAAGCTCACAGGGTCTGAAGGTAGACTCCTGGGCACATAACTTGATTCTGCTCGTTCCTACCTATGTAAATGTGAGCAAACTACTTAAATTTCTTGTGCATGCTTTATTTTATTTGTACAATTAAAAACCATGAATTGTGTTTTCTCTAAGGGGTGTTGTAGGATTCAATGAATTAATATATGCACAAAGTTTAGAGGTACATATGCCTGGTACATATAAGTACTGAGTAAATGTTGTTAGTATTACCAGAGAAGAGGGGCACCTGAGTGACTCAGTTGGTTAAGTCTCTACCTTCGGCTCAGGTCATGATCTCAGGGTCCTAGGATGGAGCCCTGCATAGGGCTCTCTGCTCAGCAGGGAGCCTGCTTCCCCCTCTCTCTCTGCCTGCCTCTCTGCTGTACTTGTGATCTCTCTCTCTGTCAAATAAATAAAATCTTTTTAAAAAATATTACCAAAGAAGGAGAAAATATTTGTGTATGATATTTTGTTTGCAGGAGGTGCAGATCACAGATTTATTTGTATTTTGTGGCTTTTTGGTTCTTCCGTAGAACAAAGTTGTATTTCAAAACTTGGCAGGAGCTACTTAATTACACTTATTCAAGTATCTTACATTTAAAAATATTTACAGTTCTCTGGGGTATTTCTGTAAGTACCCATATTTAAAGAAATAGCTCTGGGGCACCTGTGTGGCTCAGGGCATAATCTCAGGGTCCTGGGGCCCCGTGTCAGGCTTCCTGCTCAGAGGGGAGTCTGCTTGTTCCTCTCCCTCTGACCCTCCCCCCAAAGTGGGCTCTTGCTCTCTCACTCTCTCTCAAATAAATTTTTAAAAAATTAAAACATTAATAAAAAATAAATAAACAGCCCCGCACCATAGTTCAGTCTAGTATTAATATGGTGAAGTGTGTTGCACCATGGATATTTGAGGCATACTAATTCAAGGACTGGGAAAATCTAGGCAGAGTTTCAGTAAAGGATCCTCCAGGATTCTAAAATCCTAAAGGAAAAGCAACTGTCAAAATATAACGAGCTATTTGACACAGTAAACAATTTGTAAGGAAGTTTTTGTGAAGGCCTAAGATCTGCCAGGATATGCAGCATCGCACAGAAACTGCTGATGATCACAGCAAGTTGTCAGAACCGAGAGGGAGAGGGCAGCGTGCGGAAGTGTAGAGCGTCTCTGGGTATCGTTGTAAAACACAACAGCAGCGTCAAAACTAGTGTCTCCCAATTTCAGTCCAAGAAATAATGATAAAAATGTCTTGGAAAAGTCTTCCTGTGGCCTCTGGGACTGTTTTTTGTTTCATTTCAACTCTCCTACTTTTTAGTTCTTGGTTAAACACTGTGTCTGGGAAAGGGAGAGAAGTAGGGTCTGGCCTCTAGAGAAGAGGACTGCGTGGATCAGGGGAGGCCAGGGCACCCATTTCTTCTAGAAATGAAACACAGGAGCCCAGGTGAAGACAGAGAGATGTGCCCATCCAAAGGGTCAATGTGGGGACCAAACTCCTGAGGACATCAGGCCTTCAGGTGCTTTGCTCACCCCCAGTAGTATGGAGACCACAGGTGGTCTGGATCACACTCACCGCAGTCCTTGGTGTACGCCCAGGGTAGGAGATCATTCAGTCACTCACTCAACAAATATTTCCTGAGATCTTACCATGTGTGTGCCAGGCACGGCACCATTTAACCAAATGATGACACAGATAACTGTATAAATTGTGATATGTGTTCCAAGGAGAAAGCTGAGGGGCGGGGGGTGGGAGATAGTCGAAACCGAGACTGGTAGGTCAGGGAAGGACACCCAAGAAGTGGCATTTAAACTGGGACCCAAAGGATAAGAAGGAATGTGGGAAGGGAGTGAGTGAGTGGTGCCCGTGTGTGTGTGTGTGTGTGTGTGTGTGTGTGTGTGTGTGTGTAGGGAGAGAACACAAAATGAAAACGAGAGGAAGAGAATGTGCGAGGAGAATGTGCTGGGTACACCAGCCGGCAACGTGCATGAAGATTCCTGAGGAAGGAATAGGGAAGGGGGTGCACGCCAGAGCAGGGGTAAGAAGACAGCAAAACAGGAGCCCACCGGAGCACAGGGTAAGGGGTTTGACCTTGGCCACCACAGATTTTTTAAGCAGGAGCTGACCATTGTTTTACGCTGGCTACCTGCAAAACTGCACCCTGATTATTCGGTTTTGTACTACTTTCATTTACTACTCTCTCCACTATT